AAAAAAAAAGGTTTATGTACACTCAGCATTGTATTGAACACCTATCCTTGGTAGGCCTCTGAAAATCATACAAAAAAAGAGACATGATTCTCACAGACAGTAATGGGAAAACTATATACAAACACCCACCAGCTGACAGGTCACAATCCCTATCCCACCTCTTTGGGAGCTGCAGTGTCCTACTCATCTTGGTGGCCCCCAGCACAGCAAGGACTCAGTTGATCCTGGTGGCTTGACATAACGTGTAGTTCTGAATAATCCCGCCAGAAGGGCAGGACCACTTGGTCAAGAGAGAGACCATTCCAGGGAGAACATCTGTTATTACTAATTACCATTTGATGCCTTTCTTGAGGAATGTTGGTATCTGAGTAGTTTTTCACAATTCCCAGTCTTCACAAAAGGGGTACATTATCACAAAAACAGCATAAAACTGCTTTCTACCCTCCATCACCAAAAAAAAACCCCACAAGACCACACGGGCATGAGTCCAGTAAAACAAACCTTTTATCTGAGTTCTGCCTATCTTAACAAGCCAAATGCTTCAAATACAAAAGTGAGCTTTGTTTGAAGTGTTTCTGTCATGTTATATTTCAGGGACCCACTGGTGGCTTGGAAGCCATTTAAAATGACCACCTACACTGTGTGCATTTATAGGCCAGATAAGGCTCTTTGTCCCCTTGAGACTTCATGTTACAGCTGAGACTTCTAGGGGAAACTGTACACAGGCACATTTTCAGTTAGGGCATTTCAATCTTAGAGGAAAAAAGAAGTTGGGACTGGGTAGGGGAAGCCTTTGTCTCTGTTGCTCTGTAGGAAACATCTACCAGGAACTACTGGGATAAACGCCTGCTGAGAGGAATGCATTTCAGACAAGGGTTGATTTATTAGGCTCTCAAATGCTGGCCTTTCTCACATCATTGCCAAGCTTGCATCTGAAAAGCCGCAACTCTCTATGAAGAAAAATCAGAGGCTTAGATCTGGACGGAAAGCTTATTCTAAGGACAGCCCAGGAGCTCCACAAATATATATATTTTAGAGGAAAAATGTATAAGATATTTTTCTCCACAGCAACTCAAAAACAATTTTTTAAGTCACTTTGAAAACAATTCCTTAACACTGTCAGCATTACCATGACATTAAAAAAGCAGAATGCATGGTTACTTTATGTCATTTGATTGACAAAGGAGCCGCACTACGCAGGTAGGTGTTCTTTTGGACTTCGTCACACAGATGACGGCATCACGACAGGGTGGGTCAACAGTTTGCCTAGGAGACAGTGTGGGGGAGCGAGCAGGCGGGGCAACACTGGACCTGGCAAGGCTGGGTCCCTGGACTGCACCTCGGCGCTTGCTTTACCCCACCCTCGTGCACACACCATCTGTATGGCCTTCCCTCTGCATGCCCTCACCTGCATTTATCTATGTCAAAATGGAAGTTTCTAGAAGGGAGAACTGTGACCTTCATTAATCAAATCTTTGTATCTGCACCAAAGACTCACAAATAATGACCATATGCTCTGGTTTGTTAGGTAGATTTCTGTGTCACTTTCCTCTCTCAGTTCCCCTGCATGGACCTGGCAGCTTTCACTCATGAAAGCTAAAGCTCTTGATTCTCTCATTGTTACTCAAAGCACAATTGCTGGCATTCAGCGTATAGTGCCACAGCATCCTGAACCCAAGTTCATCTCTGGGCCTGTCTCCTAAAAGGGTAAGTGCAGAAACAGCCTCTCAGAAAGCTCCAGGACTGTCTGACCTTAGTAAAGGATAATTTGTCTGCTCCTTAATAAAAGGACCAATTCTCCTGGGATACCTTTGATCCCAACTATAAACAGATCAGGGTGAAAAAGGTCTTCCGGTCATGGGAAAACCCAGTTTGCTGTTGCCTTTGGTGAGTTAATGAACTACTGTATAGTTGTGGTTCAGGAAGCTGCTTTATAAATATACTCTTACCTGCAATTGTTCAAGGAGGTCAAGGTTCTGTTTACGTAAGCTGCTGTTGGTTTTCTCTAATTTATCCATTCTTTGGTTGTCACTGAGAGGAGAGGAATCGATAAGTTCTTCTTGAAGCACATGGTACTCAACTTCATA